TGTGTGTGTGTGTGTGTAGTAGTCCCTAGGTGCCTTGACAGGATGCTAAGCTGATGTGAGGCGTATTTATGGATTACCAACAGGCACCTGTGGCTGGTATAAATGATGGCATGATCGTTAGTGGACAGAGGCTAATGAGATACAATATGTCAAGGTCCATCAGGCCGCTCAAGACTCCACGCCGCTAGTTCAGAATCTAAATTACTCACTAATTCATGCATTAAACAGAGGCTTTGGCTCGAGCCTTCACTTTCCCCTGGGCTTAGGGGTTTAATGAAGCCCGGAATGTCTGCAGGATATTTTTACTTCGGAGAAAGAGATAAATATTACAGAATTTTAGCTGAACTAAAGAAACGGACAGATAAGAAAAAAAAAGAAAAAAAAAAAAAACAACAACGAAGGAAGAAACAACCATGAACTAAACGGTACGGTAATACTTCAGAGTTTTATGTGAGCGAGTTAGCGTTTTGATGGAGCGTAGTTATTACCCTACATTACGTCAAAAAAAAATGACAGTACATAAAAAGGGGAGTAAATATTGCGGGATTGAGAGGCACGTGCCATAACAAAGCCCTTTAAGCGTGTCCGGCTTTTATGTCTTCCTTCTGTCCCAACCGCTTCCGTTGTGTCCTCTCGCCTGCTTAGATTTATCTGGGCTTATGTTCTCTGTATCTGCTCAGAGACCGAGCGCGGCCTCTGCCTGTCAGCTATCGCTACGGCCACCATCGATTCTTCGCAGCTTCGTCGGTGTTGCTCACGGCCTGTGAAATAAGCAGATTTGGCGAACTTCACACAAACGAGTGTGTAATGAACTCCGTCCATCCCCCTGAACTCCGTCAGGTAGCACACACACACACACACACACACACAAAAAAAAAAGCGCCAGGTGAAATAAATCCTTAAACAAAAGAGACTGTGATGTTAATTGAACTACAATGTAAGACGCACGTGTGTTTTGTATCTGTCGCTGTAGAGGTGCAAATGATCTAAAACCTCAGTTCCGTTACATTAATGCTCCATTCAGATGGGTTTATGACCTCACAGTGTAATTTACTAGAATAACACTTGTTATCCCTGTAGAAGCCTGAAAGAATAAATCTAAGATCTACAAGAGAAAACGAGCCTTAGACAGAACATCAAATATGAGTGAAAACATACAGAACTACAGAAAGTCTCATCACAGGATTTTTGTCATTTCCTAAAATAGCATTTACTAGCATTGATAGTTTCGCATTCATACAGGAATAAAAACTGTCACGGGTTCCACATTTGGGCGGTTATGTAAAGAATAAAACATTAGTGTTAGGGAGTGCTGTTCCAGGCAAATGATCAATGACTGGGTGGTGTGATACAGCCTGATGTGAAGTGGACTAGTTCAGCAAACAGACTTCATATAAAGCCACTATCTGTCGTTACCCGGATGAGGACGGGTTCCCTTCTGAGTATGGTTCCTCTCAAGGTTTCTTCCTCAGATCATCTTAGGGAGTTTTTCCTCACCACCGTCTCCACCGGCTCGCTCAATAGGGATAAATCCACACACTTAAAATCTCTATCCTGTGTTTATATGCTTCTGTAAAGCTGCTTTGAGACAATGTCCGTTGTAAAAAGCGCGATACAAATAGGATAGAATTGAATTGAACTTACTGTTATTACCATAAAGTTCATCCATCCGTCTTTTATACCGCTTTTCATTCCTTCAGGGTCACGGGGAAACCTGGAGCCTATCCCAGTGAGCATCGGGCACAAGGCGGGGTACACCCTGGACAAGGTGTCAATCCATCGCAGGGCACAATCACATACACACTCACACACCCATTCATACACTACGGACACTTTGGACACGACAATCAGCCTACCATGCATGTCTTTGGACTGGGGGAGGAAAACCGGGGTACCCGGAGGAAACCCCCGCAGCACGGGGAGAACATGCAAACTCCGCACACACACACACACACAGGGCCACGGTGGGAATCGAACCCCCGACCCTGGAGGTGTGAGGCGAATGTGCTTTATTCAGTTCTCTCTTATTACAGCGGCGTATTAACACTTACCATAGTGTCCATATTGTACTTTTTTAAAATCCATTTATACTTACTGCATGATGTGGAAGGTTTGCAAGACAAGCTCGTTTCTGAACGTCACTTAACAGCTATTAATCAACAGTTCTTCACTCACTGACTCGCTTTTTAATAAACCTGAAAAAATGCAGCTTGTCATGTCGTGTCATTACGGAGACGCTGGAAAAAGCAAACTGTCCTGAAAACTTCCCCATGGCGTAAAAAAAAAAAAAAACAACCCTTCCTTACTGTTATAAAATCCTGCCACTGGAGACTCCGTCCATAAATGATAAATACACGATAAATAAATGTCTCCTTACGGAAAATTTCCAAAAAGGTGCTTATATATTTTTCTTAAATACTTAAATATTAATGATTATAGAGATGCTGTGGTTAAACAGCACCATAAAAAAACAAATACATATATATATATAATTAAATTAATTTTTTCATTAGCCTTAGATTGTGTATAACGCCCACCCCACAGTACATGTCTCTGTGAATTAGTTGTTACTATAGAAACCATAACGTATTAGAACTCGTGCGTTACAGACCTGTGCATTAAACTGCGGCTGGCAGTACTGTCAGAGCTGCCGTTATAGAAAACTCAACACCTTCTGAACCATCAGAACGGAGAATTCAACAGCGCTGTGGTATAAAGCGCCAGTCAAACAGGTCCAGGAAGAAAGTACATGCTTTCGCCTTAAAAAGCCAACATAAGAGCAGATTTCCACTGAATGAGCACAGCGTGTGTCCTTTCTCCTGGTCCTCTGCTGTGGCGTTAATGTCTAAATACCTGACTGCCTCAACCAAAACTGTTTATTTAGTACAGATTCGTTTTTATGTGTCCTTGGCAGAGTTACTCTAACCATCCGTCTTTCTGTACAGATGTCCATATGGTGACACTGATGCGTAACTGGGTGGGGGCTGTGAACAAGACGGCTCTCTCGCTGTGTGATTACACCGCCCTCTGTGTGATGATCAGCAGCTGCCAGGCTTCACCAGAGCAGGACGGACAAAAACGCGAGGGCACGGGCAGCTTTTCCGTCTCGGCTTTGTGCTGAAGCGAAAACAATGGCGAGGCCGAGAGGAACTGATGTGCTGGAGGTGGAGTGGTTTTCAGGTGACACGGGACTCCCTGCACTGCTGACGATAACCATAATGGCATAATGGATACCGTGAGCTGCCCTGGCATTACAAACTACATCTGGCCAGCTAATCCAGTTCTACAGCTGTGGAAATCTATGCACGAGTTATAAAATGAACCAATATCTCAGGAAATATTTACATATACAATGGTTTATCGTGATTCAAAACAGGCTAAAAGCGCTGGTTCCTCATTTCAGTTCTGCTTCCATAGCGGCAGCAAAAGAAAGGACATTGTAATGATGGTGATGGACATCTGTGAAATCGGAAACGATTTACTGCTTGGAGATTAAACAGAGTAACACCAGGTGCATCTGATGTTAAAGTAGCGGTCAGCGATTATAATAGCTCTCTTGACGTTCCGGCTCAGAGGAGAAACTCCTGTCTCTTTAGGTCAAGGTGGGGGAAAGAAAAAAAAAACAAAAAACATCCAACCGGTTGGGATTCAGAGACCTGTCGATTGAGAGACCGTACGTTTTCAGGGTGTGGCCTTAACCGGGACACTGAAGGATGGGGCTGTATTTGATTAAAATAACCAGCTAATATCTTAAAATCACTAACTGTATCTGTCATTTACTCAGCACTCAAACGTTTAAAAAGCTGCTGAAAAGCCACGGAGTGTCCCTGAGGTCCCTTTTAAGTGAAAACGCCACTCTGATTCATTAGGATGGAGTTAGGTCAGTATTGGCTTTGAATCATTTCCCTGTCCTTTGATATGCAGCTCATATCTATCCTTGCCTGAAGTGTGAAAACAAAGGAACCGAGGAACAAAAGGTCAGGTATCTTTGTTAGTGTGTTGGTTATTCACCGGGCCAAGAACGTCACAGTCACTGTGTGGAACGTGTAAGATGCGACTCTTTGTTGTTGTTGTATTTTTAAAGATATGCATCTGACAGCGACTCTGTCCCTATAAGCCTTTATTTCCCTCTATTTCCCAGAATGCCTTACTGCTAACAGTAGCGTCAGTGGGATTTAGCTCTCGCTTCATCTCTACATAAAGAAAGCGGTGCAGCAGCGCTTTAACCCTTTAGTCTGTCCAGCTCTCTTACCTCATCATCAGTACTCTCCTATCAACATGGATGGGCGATATGGACTTAAAACTACATCACGATATTTTCTGGGATTTATTGCGATAACGATATCGGTGACGATATAAATATAGTACCATTCACCACTGTCTTTGTCTACAAGTGCTAGCTGTGATCTTGAGAGGCTCGGAAACCCAAAACATCGATCTAAAAGTAAAACCGAACCAGCTCCAGATTGTCGCGCTGGCTCCTCGTTTAGCGACAAACTCCTCCTCGGCGTCGCGTCCGCCGTACTTGTTTTCGCTCTGCACGTGAGCTGCGAACGGGCCGCACGCAGAAATACGTCAACGATTAGGTTTTATCGTTATCGTCGCGAGAAGACTAATTCATATCGTGAGGAGAATTTCTACCGCTATAGCGCATAAACGATAAGATACCGCCCAATCCCTACTGGTCAAACAGGTCCGCTTCAAAACTTCGGTCAACACCGTCGTGCTCATCATCAGCGTTACCAACCGCTTCATATAGCTGCAGTGGATTCTGGAAATCCGAATTTAAGAATGAGCAGTGAAACCTGAAATAGGAGAAACAGTTTCCTCATATTAAACTGCACTGTAACATCAGCTCCGAGGACAACCGCTAACTTTACTTGAAAAGTTCTCCTTCTGATGTTTAGCTGTTTATTAGTAAAGGCACCACTAAGAAACAACATCTTGACCAAGCAAGCAATCATAAGGACAATTAATAAGGCAAGACTGGACTGAACTTGGCGCACGGTGGTTTAGGGGTTAGCACGTTCACCTCACACCTCCAGAGTCGGGGGTTCGAGTCCCGCCGGGTCCATGCGTGTGCGGAGTTTGCATGTTCTCCCCGTGCTGTGGGGGTTTCCTTCGGGTACTCCGGTTTCCTCCCCCAGTCCAAAGACATGCATGGTATCTAAAGTGTGTGTGAGACTGTGCTCTGCGATGGATTGGCACCCTGTCCAGGGTGCAGCCCGCCTTGTGCCCCATGGATCGGCTCCAGGTTCCCTGTGACCTTGAAAAGGAGTAAGCGGTAGATGCGTGCGAATCCATGTTGTGATACTGTAAGCATCGAGATACACACACATCTTCTACATTTCTGATAAGTATGAACAGAAAGCAACGAAATGATGGGCTCAACATGATCCAGATTCTCGATCAGAAATGGTCCGAGTCGAAGCTGTACTTCTCCGACAGCTAGAGGAGTCGTGACACAGGGGTCATGGACATGAGCGCTTTCATTTCTACTCAAACACTATCCTGGAACATGTTTTTATTGGGACGCTGACATCTCACAGAATATATATACTACAAGCGACAACTCACCGCGTAAAATATGGCTTTCCAATTTTCTGAAGAGCAAAATTGCATCTCATCAGCTGACAACATGATCCCCGTCTCATCACCCCAGAACTCCCTCGAAATCACAACCCAACACCAAAAAGAGACCTGGGTACACAATTTCTAGCTTATTGTGTTAAAAAAAAACACAAACACGGGAACACCTGCATTTTTTTTTATATTACTGTGGTTAAGTCGGTTTCTTATTAGATATCTGTCACACATTCATACCTCCGACGTCAGCTACAGCTGGGCAATATGATGATACGATATCAATATCGTGATGGATTATGTCACAATACACTTTTCATTGATACTGCTGGAGTTATCACTAGAACAGTTACAATCAGATTAGATGTGAACACCGTGTCATGTATTGGCTCCCCAGTGGAGCACCAGGAAAGTATTCGCTCTATGGTTCAGAGATCACAAGCTCCATTCCTGACAATCCCTGAGTCCAAGGGAGCAAAATTGGTCAAGGCTGTCTTCACATGTCTCGGAGGAAGCACGTGTTAGCCTTCATCCTCCCCGCCTGGTAGCTGTTTTATGATAGGGGAGAGCTGACTAAATTAGGCAGAAAAATTAGGGGAAAATCCAAAAAATAAACGTAATGTAAGAATTTGAATATATAAATTATTCATTGCCTCCCTCTTTCTCTCTTTTTATTTTTAGACATTAATGTGAATAAATAAGTAAATAAATCAAGTCAGCATTTTTTTTAAACATACTAGAAAGACTTTTTCGTTAGCAAACCTAAATATCATATTCATTTAGCATACGTTCTCTTTAGCATACCCCATAAACAAAGCACGCACACACATGCCTACAATCCTACAGCATTCTGCACATTCATACTCTATTATGAACACTTTCCCCATGCTTCACTGCCTTTAATCAGCATTATACCCGACACGCAATTACGCAACAGCCTGGCAAGCTTCCGATTCAGCTTTCCAAGAGACTTGTTTGAGAGGTCTTACCTCAACTTTCCTCAGCTATCACAAATTGAGCAACTATTCTTTGACAACGCTCACTAACCACACATGCAATCTCAGACTGCACACACTTATTAGCCACATCGTACCTGGGATGAGGAAAGCAGGGCCAGAGAGTGGTGCAACTGTTTACCTTTTTGTCGGTCAGATCCTCATCGTCATTCTTAGCAGCATCCAGGTCAGTGACTCCTCGGCTGAACTCGTCCACTGTGCTGTCAGGGAGCGGCAACTCCTCTGCGTCGATGTCCGTCTCTTCTGCCAGCGTCTTCTCAGCTCCAGTTAACTCCCGATCTGTGGACAAGTTATCGTCCGTGTTAGCGATCCGGATCGGAATGATTCGCCTACTAGAAAAGAATATTCCAGAAAAAAAAAAAACAACAACCCTAAACTCTATCCACCACAACTGTATCCTTTTTTTAATTTTTACACACAATAAAATTCACACGTTTTCTTGTATTGAGAAAAGAACAGGAAAAGCGGTTTTCACTCAAAAATGTACAGGCATCCACAACCTTTTTTATGAAGGCCTTACCGAACTCTTTAGATCTCGGAATCATGACACCACACACTTCAAAAACAAAGAGAACACCAGGCATTAGATATGAGAGGGGTGTAAATAAGAGCGGTTCCACCTGCACTCGCTAAGCCGGTTCTAATCACTAGCACCCGATCTTCAACACCTGATTCTAATTTGATGGATTTGAAGGTGTGATAAATGTAGGGGTGTACTTACTTTTTCCATGTGACTGATCTGTTTTTTGTTCATTTAAAATTGTGAAAAATTAATACAAAACGTAAATTGTATGTGTCATTTGATAGAGTGTATCAACTTTATTAATAAACACTGTTTCAAAGAGGATCAAATGTTTGCGTGTCGAAATGTTTACAAAAAACAAAACAAAACCCAAACAACTTTCATGGAGTGTACTTATTTTTTCACATGACTATGAGTCTGGCAAGGGATTTAAAAAGATCTCCAAATGATTTGAAATACATCATTCCACTGTAAGGAAAATCATCTACAAGTGGCGCAGATTTCAAACGACTGACAATTAGTCCAGGACTGGCCGTCCCAGCAAATTCAGCCCAAGAGCAGACCGTCTGATGTCTCTAAGAACCCCAAAATTTCATCACAGGATCTGCTAGTAAGTCTTGCAACTGTTGATCTCAAAGTGCATGTTTCTACAATCAGAAACAGATTGCACAAATTTGACCTACATGGGAGGCGTGCCAGGAAAAATTAGGACTACAGTTTGCCAATGAGCATATAGGCAAAGACCAGGCCTTTTGGAATAATGTGCTCTGGACAGACGAATCAAAGATAGAGTTCTTTGGTCACAGTAAGAGCTGACATGTTTGGCGCTGATAAGATAGCTTTACAGGAGAAGCACCTCATACCAACTGTGAAGCACAGTGGTGGAAATGTTATGGTTTGGGGTTACTTCGCTTCCTCAGGGTCTGGACAGCTTGCATTCATTGATTCAACTATGAATTCTGCATCATATCGAAGACTGCTTTAAGATAATGTGAGGCCATCTGTCTGAAAGTTGAAGTTGAACGGAAAGTGGACCTTTCAGCAGGATAATGATCCTCAGCACAGGGGGAAATACTAGCATCTGTCCGTAGCAAGTGTCCGTAGTGTATGAATGGGTGTGTGCATGTGATTGTGCCCTGCGATGGACTGGAACCCCTGTCCAGGGTGTACCCCGCCTTGTCCTCAATGCTCCCTGGGTTCCCTGTGACCCTGAAAAGGATAAGCGGTATAGAACAGGGGTCCCCAACCCCCGGGCTGCAAACCGGTACCGGTCCGTGGGTTATTTGGTACCGGGCCGCACAAAAAGAATAAATAACTTGCATCATTTCCGTTTTATTTATTATCGGAGTCTGAATGATGTTTTACTTTGAAAAATGACCGGATTCTCTCCATTACATCCGTCTACGACTCGCTCTTGACGCAAGTCAAGACGCTTGTCTCGGTCACGTGATATGTTACTTGGTCACGTGATACGTTAAGGGGTAGAGCGGAAGTTACTCATGCTATGTTGTTGGCGTGATGTTACGAGGACGCTGCTAATAAAGTCGCGATTTCACATTGGATTCACGTTTATTATTATATTTTAAAAATACCCCCGTTTTTATGCCGGTCGTATCATTTTATTTTGTTGTATTTATCCGCCACACCTTAAAGGCCGGTCCGTGGAAATATTGTCTGATATTAAACCGTGGCGGAAAAAAGGTTGGGGACCGCTGGTATAGAAGATGGATGGATGGCTGATTCGTGTTCACCAAAATAACTACAGGGAGTATGCATTTTCCATGTTCACTACTGGCTCACTGGCGATGCTTCTAACATTGTCCCTGAAACAGTGAGTCTCACACTCCGTTGGAGCTGATGCTAACAGGAGTGTGTCGTATCCCTGTGACAGTGATGTCTACGCTGGCGCTGGGGCTGGGCGACTCTCGTGTGGCTGAGTGCTGGTGCGTGGGTGATGGGGAACTCATATGCATTTCAAAAGGAAGAAGCTCTAGAGGGAGTGAAGAGCTCAGAGCGGGATAATATAATACGCCTGAACTCATGGCTCGAGGAGTGGAAGAGAAAGAGCCACTGATCATCACAAGCACTGTTTGACTAATTCCCTGTTGTTAAGCCTGACTGTGCTGGGCATAAATCTAAGAGAAATAGACTTACTCTCTATGATCCCATGGGATGAATATGAAGGGGCGGTTTAATTATACTCACTGAAGCAATTTCAACTCTCATTTCAGCTCTCATTCCTTAGGCGTCCCCCCCTTCTTTTTGCTCAGTTGATATTTTTCATATGAGTGAAACAAGGCATGTGGCTAGTTCAGTCATCCCTGATGAAAATTATGTTTAGCTCATTTTGACCCACAAGTAACAAAAAAAAAAAAGATAAAAATGCTAGATAATATAGCTGTACATACGTTTACGCCCGAGCATTCTGGCTCAAACCTCTTGTGTGGGCGGGGCTTAACAGTCACGTACTCTCATTGGCTAGTGAGAGTTTTCGATCGACAGCTCCAGTATCCAGCTGAGGAGGAGGATGGGGATGATCATGACGACGACACGAGGCTACCCACACCTCAAATATTAATTGCGAACTAAAACACTGACTAAGTAAATTAGGTCATTTCCACTACAACGTACAAACACTAGAACTATACAGAGAACCGGCTCTGTGTACTTCCAGGTCGGGGAGCTGTCGATCCAAATCTCACTAGCCAATGAGAGTACGCGGCTGTTAAACCACGCCCACACGAGACATTTGCACCATTTATTCGTTACATTTTCGCCACTGGATTCGTTGTTTTCACTTTCAGAGTTTCTCTTCTCTCATTGTATATTGTTGTTCCGTTTCTTAAAAGGTCGATACTGTGGCACAAACTGAATTCCGTACTGTTTTCTCCTCGGAGACATGGGAAGCCTGCCCTGTCCTTACAACCTGCTGTGTCACAAAGCATAGTAACA